TTATTGATTTACTGTGTGCTCCATGACAGACGTGATGAGCAGTCACCAAATTTGGTGTTCCTTATCAATATTTGTCACCTGACTGATAAAGTTTCTTAAAAACTAATCTTCAATACATGTCTCTGTCTCTGGGGGATCTTCACCCTGTTGGTATTAATATTTACACCTGGTGTCACCACTGAACACTGGGGTGCAGGGACCTGTTCATACCTGGCAGTCGACTCCATCCTTCAGCTCAGTGCTGTGATGAAGCCATAATATCCATGGCCATAACCTGCTAGTGTCAGCAGAGCGCCCGGGGATTTTGACTAACTGTCCGCCCGTCTTTGATAAACAAAAGGCTCCGGCTCTCATGCATTTTTGAGCCACTCTTGCCCCTCGGCTTTTATCAGCTTAGCCACGCCGATTAAATTCGGCAGCCCCTGTTTGTGTTGTCCTGTGTGTGTGTGTGTTTGTCTCAGAGCTCCGATGATCCCCCCCCCCCGTCTTTGTCTCGTCAGGGCAGTGTCACCCAAAGAGGTTTATGATGGGGACCGGGGGGGTGAGCCACAGCTGAAGAGATTAGTGTCTACAATGTGTGTGTGTGTGTGTGTGTGTGTCCCACGGATTCTTCAGCTGTTGCAAGGGTGTGTTTTTCTTTTTTTACCCACCACAGGTGTCTCGTGGGTAAATGTATATGGTGTGAGACAAGTGGCACATGGGGGTTGTAAAGCAACGTGGACTCTTCCATAGCAGAGAGGGCAATTCACATTAAGTCTTCACGGAGCTGAGAGCCTTAGGAATAGATTATACGCTTCAGGCACTGTGTAATTTACTCATAAGGCTGTTTGATTCATGTGGAATTACTCACTAAATTATCATAATTTAAGTATAAGTAAGTTTTTATCTACATATTGTATCTACATATATACATGTTGTGTGTTGACACAGGTGTGTGCGGAGGACACGTTGTGCAAAAATGAAGCCTCGCAGGAAGGAGGTGCAGTCAAAGTACCAGACAGACACGAAATAGATTCAGTATAAATATTTAAAATACTTTATACAGCATAGAAATCTCTCCACACTCAAAACAAAACCATCCATTACAAAATCTTATAAAAGACCACCCCCCCTCGAGTCTGTATCAATCTCAGTATCAAGCAGGAGAAGAAAAAAGGTACAAAGACGTCAATTCAAATGTTGACAACACGGTTCGACTTGTGAAAACATTGCATGCAAATTTTTAAAATTTTGAACAGGAAGAGATTCTGCGGTATGTAGGTTAACAGTTGAGAAGCTTCGTGTGCCGCGTTGACGCCTCTTTTTGAAGAGTCGGACAGTTTCATGGAGCGACTGAGAGGCTCCAGCTGCACAAACAGAAGTTTCCAAATCCCTTTGTACAGACGTGATGAGAACACAGGAGTCGAACTGTTATTTACAAGCACAATATTTTACATAACTCTCAGAGAGCTCTTGGCAAATACTCTTCATTGCAGTTAACACTTAAGACTATTGCACAAACTACAGTATTAAGACAAAAGGAAGTGAGTTTATTCTTTTTTTTCTATCGTGTTCCCACCTTCGTGCCCTCAGCCTCGGGCGAGGTTGATCAGTTTCATAAGGCCTTTAAATCTCTATTTTTTTATCTTTCTTTTTTAACTTCAAAACTGACTATAAATAGACACATCCAGCTGGAAGAAAGTCAGGATTAAGACTTGTACACTTTCAGTTTCCCTGTGGTGCCAAAAAGTTATGTAACACTCGTGTATAAAAAAAGTGATAGCTGTGTCGAGTGATCGTTAATGAGAGTGCTATAAAAAGTGACTACTCCTTGGATCTAATGGCACTAACGCTCAGACACGGCAGAATCCACACAAGCGCGTCACAATCAACCGCTGTTATACATTAAAGTATGAATTATGCAGTGAGGTAAAAGATGGTAAACACCGTTGTTAGTACAGATTTTGGTTTTTAAGAATAGTGCATTAAGCTTTTCTTTTCTTTTTTAAATCCAGTTAGCATTGAGAACACGGTGCCAGCTGACTGGAGGTCAGTGGGTTTCACACAGACAAAACATTTAAACATGTAATCAGGGTCAGGGTAAGCGTTGGGGTCCGTTAGCTGGTGTGAATCAGTCTGCGGCTCAGTTAGTAACCAGTTACAGCAATATTACATGAGGGAGTATGTGTTAGCTCAGCTTATTATACAGTGGTTTGTGTGTGTGCATGTGTGCGTTCATGTGTAGGTGTGTGTACACCGTGCTCCACATTACATGATGTCCCATGTCCACTTTGTATCTAGGACACCACAAGGTTTAGTCATTGCTCCGGGATCTGTTTCAAATCTCATCCTCTTATTACATAATGACAGCGTTGACGAGAGAGAATATATTTTTACGCTCTCGCTCAAACAACTTTTGTTTTCTTCCTAAATCCTTTTCTTGAAGGATCACGCGTGTCATAAAAAAGTGGCTCAGTCATAATAAAGGGACAGTTCACAGTTCAGAAGGCCGCTCCGGAAGACCTCTCCAACTTCAATCAAGTGTTGAGAGGGGCCTTGAGTTCAGTCTGTCGTTCTTTTCTTTCTCTTTCGCGCCCCTCAGCAGAGGGTCTTGAGTGCACCAGAAGCACAGAGGAGAGTCTGCATTGGGTAGGGAGGAGGAGAAACCACTTCCTCTACAACCTGTTCTGGTCGGAAGCTGAACGGCTGCAGCTGCACCTTCTTCTTCAGGATCTGCCCGATGCCCATTGAGGGGAACTTGCTGCGGTGCGTGGGGCTCTCGGGATCACTGCTGCCGCTGTTGGAGGGCGGGCTGAATGCTGACGTGGGGTTTAGGGCACTAAAGGCAGACTTCGGAGGGCTGAAAGCCGAGCTACCTGGGGGGCTTCCTACGGTGCTGGGGGGGCTGCCACTGGTGTCGGAGGAACCGCACCAATCTGACGAGATGCTCTTCTTGGGCTGCGGGTTGACGATGAGGACTGGAGGACTGGGGATTGTGGCCTTTTTTAAGTAAGAGGAGTCGGGCTGAAAGGCAGAGACGTGGCGGGGTGGGGACAGCGTGCCGTTGGTGAGCTTGTACCAGGGGGAAGTGGGGGTGTCTTCGATTTGTTCGGCTTTGGAGAGGGAGCCGAATGAGTGCATGCCAATCGGTGAGGGTGCCGGCGGAGCGGGTATGTTGTGTTCTGGGCTCGTGTTGACCTGCGGGAGGGTGGCCAATCGCCTCCGCTGCTGAGGGGTGTTGTTGAAGAGCGGCTGGATCTCTAGATATTCCATAGAAGAAGAAGCAACAGTGCCGGGTGGTGCCAGAGGCGAATTACGATGTCCACCGGTTATGGCACGCAAAAGACCTGAGGAGGAACAAGAAAGCATGGTTACACTTTTGGTGTCATCTCAGCGAAGATAAATATCTAGATTAAAAATCTGCCAGTAAGTCACAACCAGCTAAAGGTACAGGAATAATTTCTCCTTGCCAAGACCGGCCTGTCCTGACAAGCTCCATCTGTAATAGCCTGTGTGCTTTCTCAACAACTCTCGTGGTGAAGACTGATCACCATCACTTTGTACCGGCACCAGGTCGATAACTAACTAATTCATTCTGCTTTGTTGCTTGATTTGATGATTTACTTTCTCCTCACTTTCTCAGTCACAAGGTACATTCATCTTTTTAATAAGGTGGTTGCATGTGTGCCCTATTATTGACAAGTCGTCCAAGATGTGTCCTCCCAGACGAATGGATGGATGGATGGATGAGTTGGGTAGTTGGATAGATGGATTGGAGGAGGGGTGGTTGGATGGATGGATGGATGGATCACTGGGTAACTACTTTTGTGTGAAACAGCTTGTTGGTGTACAAGAACATGCATGCTCAGTCAACCTACCCTGTATGAATAAAGTAGATAAAAAAAATAGATAAATAAAGCAGCATGTTTTTCTTTTATCTTTTTTTTTTTTTTAAAGATAAATGTTCAAGTTTTTTGTTCGGCATTTTATGAATTCTCACCTGTCCTGTGTTTCTTTTCCTTACTGGGCCCCTTGCTGACAGCCAGGTAGACGGGCGTCTGTTTGGGCGGTATGGTGAGCTTGTCCACGTGCTTCCTCCACTGCGTCTGGAAGTATTCGCTCTTCTGCTTCTCCCCTTTCTTTTTCTCCTGGAACTGCATCTCCTGCGAAGACACCGCAAACCACAAATTACTGACAGCCCCAAGCGTCTTCCAAACCTGTTCTTGTGAAACCACTTTTATCTCCTCGTAATCCCTGCGCTCTTGTTACTTGAATTCAGGTGTCATTAAAAAACACTGTGGAATTCTTGAGAAAAGTCTGCGCCCCTTACCCTGTATTCTTTAGAGAGTCTCTTCATTTTCTTGTTGAGGAGGAAGTAGACGGCCAGAGTGTGACAAGCACGGTTGGTGAGGACGGCGCTCAGGACCTCGCTGTGCTTGTAGCCCATTTTCTCCGTCATGTGCAGCAACACTGTGTGGTTGATTTCTTCGATGTGGATCCTTAACACAGAGGGAAGAGAGTTAATGCTTTGACTTGTGACAAATATCCAATATATTGGCCAATATGTATATTATTATTTCTTAAAAAATAAAATAAAAAATGTAAGATAAAAGTTTTCACATCAACATATATCAGGCTCAAAGGCTCTAGAAGAAAACGACATGCAAAATCAAAGCGGGTCAAACGTGTGGGGGTCTACCTGTTGAGGTACGGGGCGCCTGTGTTCTTGTTGGCCAGCTGGAGCCAGGAGTCGGCCATCACCTGGTGGATATTGGGACGCTTGTTGGGATCTGGCTCAAGAAGCTTCTTCAGCAGACAGATGGCAGCTGAGACAGAGAGGGAGGATAAATATTCATACACTGCCACCGAGCAGACACGCCACTCAGTACAGAGAGCGGAAACAAATCCTTACATCAGATATTTCACTTCAGAAAGAGCAGATAATGTCTCATGTACAGCAAACCACTCACAACGTTTTTTCATTGAGTGCTTGGGCCAGTGTGTAAACTCACTGAACCCTCTTATCTGTTTTCATTCCATTGTTACGCAACATGGATGTGATAACTTCTGTGTTGTCAGCTTGATTAACAGGTATTAACAGGTATTAACTGACGTACATTAACAGGTACATCAGATGGGTTAAGCTAGAGTTCTGTGCAGAGAAGGGAACAAGGTACATGTTTGTTTTTGACCTCAATTCCTCATTTTGCCTTCCAGACATACTGTCCCATTACATTTTAACGCATGAAGTAGATTTAAACATGCCTTCATTTAAATATAATAAACGCAATTAAAGATTAGCAAGACAATTTTGACAACAATAGGCAGGCTACTGAGAAATTTGTAATAATACGTTCTCTGTGGTAAATACCCATGCAAACAAATGTTTCTAGTGAGCTGCCGGTGACTCATTTCTAATTTTCAATTACCAGGAATAGTTGACTTCGTCAGTAAAAGATAAAAGATAAGGACATAATTGTACTTGTGCGAGGCTGCGGAGCTCATTCTTGAGAAAAGTTTCCTTTGGTGTACGTGTGTTGGGTGGATCCAGTCGGAGAGTCTGCTTGCTCATTATTAGACAGCTGCTCAACAATACCTAATAAGTCAGCAGGGGGGCGGGGTTTCAGGAGCAATTCTCAGGTAGTCTGCTGTTTATATACACCAACAATGAAAGCTGCTGACAGGAATTCAGAGCAGCAGCTTACCGATGAATTTCAATCTGCCGTGTGTCACTTGACAGACACCTGCACCTTTGAATCTCATGTGTAAATGTCAACATTCTTTGCGCTCTCATAACCTGTAATTAAAGTATTAAACAAGGCACTATGTACAGCACATTACCTATAGGGCAATTTGGAACTTGTTCCCTATTTCTGCACATGAGAGGTGAGCGTCTGAGAAGTCCCGCCCTTGTCGTCTCTTATAGTTCTGCTTATACCCTTTAGAGTTAAGACGGAGAGTGGAGGACTTCACTCTCCGGAACAAGCTTCCTTTGTCAATGCTACCTCAGTAGCTTTAAAAAGACATTTTCATATTACTTTCTACTTTCAATTAGATGCTTTATCAATTGTCTCTTGCATTTACATGTTACCTAAAAATGGATCTTGATGAAAACAAACATTTAGGGAACTGATTTCTGTAAGTGTGTGAAATTTGGTGAATTTAAGGGGACTGTTGGTTCTGTCTCTTTTTTTTTCAAATAAAGTTTCTTTATCATTTACCTGTGCAGAGTGAGGGAGGTAGAGGGTTCATCTCCTTGTCGACCATCTTCTGGTGCAGGGCTCGGAGACTGAAGGGCTCCACAGTGAACGGGAGATTCCCGGTCAACATCGCGTACATGTTCACGCCACTGAGAGATGAAAATATAGGAAACACTTCATGTCAGGATGGAAATAAACACATGTATTTAAACATGCTGATATTTATTCGACAACTGGCTCAAAGGAGCGTGCACTCACATGGACCAGACATCCACCTTCGGCCCGTACTTCTTCCTGGAGAGCAGCTCCGGGGCGGCATATGCTGGGCTTCCACACTGGGTGCTGAACGGGTCAGAGTATCCCAAGATGCCGGCGCAGTTGCTGAGGCCGAAGTCTGCGGGACAGAGGAGGTGGGGTGAGTGTTGTTTCAGGGTTTATTACTGTCTCTTCAGCTCACGTCGTTAAGCAAGTGGCTTCAATGCAGCGTTACACGCACACAAACAGGAGCAGATTAGCACTATGGTGAGAGCTTGTAAGGGTTTTAACAGGATAGTTAATTGCTCTTTGGCCTTCACCACATGCGGGCCGCTGTGATACTCCAACTGAGGAAAAGTAATTGGCTTTGAAAGATTTTCATTTATCGTTAAACTCTTAAATATTCAAATTCTTTGCTGTAGGAAACTCGAGTTTGAATTAATGACATTCTCTGAAGAAAGAGATCTGAGGTGAGATAGCAACTGTAAAAGTCAGAGCGTCTGAGTTACCTATGAGCTTTATGTTGTCCTGTTCATCCAACAGGAGGTTTTCTATCTTCAGATCCCTGGAAGACAAAGAAAACAAGGACGTCAATGCCGGCGCAGTGTCAGCGTTTACATTAGACAACTTATCTAAGCCGTCATCATCACACAATGCACAATCCCCCCCCCCCCGACACATGCATACATGACCCTCCCAATGTGGGTCACACTGCCCGATTTTCAGGGTCTATTGTGTCCCCCCAGATCAGTCCCCAGCCTTAGAAATCCTGTTACACAGTTATCTACCTAAGCCATCTCACCAGGATAGAAATTTAGTTCCCAGGCTCCGAGTGACAAAGAATTTAACGTTTCTGGGAAGATCTTGCTGGAATTTGAGATGCAGTTAATGTGTTTTATTTTCCATAAATAAAAACCTTTTTATTTTACTTACTAATATTTAAGATTTTTAGCAGCGGTCTGGGAAACCACTTAAAGCACCTCGCTGCAGACACATCCAGTATCTTGTGGATTAGGAGTAATGTTGCACAAAAAGGACTTAGGCCACACTTTGAGAAAGAGGATCCTGTCTGTTAGACTAAATGTTTATCTCGTCTTTCTTATAATCAATTATGAGTGTTTTTATACCTGTGCACCACACCCGCCCTGTGCAGGTGCTCCACAGCCAGCACCAGCTGCCGGATGTATTTCTGAGTCTCCCTCTCGTCCAGGCGCTTCTTGTCGTAGATGCGGTTCATGAGGTTCCCACCGGGACACAGCTCCATCACCAGGTAGTAGCTGTTCTCCGTCTCCAGGATGTCTAGCAGCTGCGTGATGTTGGGGTGGCGGATCATCTGCTGGATGTGGCCCTCCCGCCGCAGGTTCTTGGTCACGTATGAGTCCTTCTTGGCCTTCCGCTTGTCTATCACCTTTACTGCCACCTGGAGAGAGCGAGACAGGAGAAGAAAGAGAGTTAAACATTGTGCCATATGATCCTGTGAATAATACCCATGGAGAATGGAGCACCCGTTCACTACTGGGTCTCGAAGGGAGATTTTTGGGGGGTAGTTTAACAGGTGATGAGCTCTCGGGCTCCATTGCAGGGTATAAACTCGACACTGGCCTCTCCCTCACAGCTGCTCCCTATGTGGGACAACTGAGGCGCTATAGGGCCTGGAGGCTGCAGCGGGGGGGAGGTGTGTGTGTTGGAGAGGTTACTGAACCATCATAAACTAGGACGAAAAGCAAATGTTACCCTATCTGTTGAGAGGGCGCCAGGGCCAAATGTTCGACCATTTGCCAGAGTTCAGTTGCAATTAAGCACACATGAGAGGAGAAACTGAGGAGGGAAACGTTGGAGTCGGCTCATGTTCTGAAACCGATTCAACAGATTGAGGAGAACAGATTTCCAAGCAGACGTTAGCAGTTCTTTTTTCTTCAGTTACTCATCCCTTTGTCGTCTGTCTGTGTTTTTGCCCGTGTGTCATTGGAGAATCTTCTCGTAAAAACCACAGCTCATGTCCTTTACCTGAATGACAAAAACACTTTGCTGCCGTCTGTGGCTAATTACATTCAATAACATACTCTATCGACTCTATTTCATCCTTTGCCCATGACGTCTCCTTGTATCCCGTCTGGACTGGGTTCAAGAGCGTGGCCACCGTACACAGCAAATCATCTCAAGGAGAGACCACAGACATGGAAAGACATGGCTGCTGGAACTAATCACCATATCCATTAAAGAAATGGTGAGGGCCAAAGTGGTTGTATATATACGAGTGTGTGTGTCCTCTCTTTCTTCTGTCCTTCAGCTTGTCGTTCTTTTTTATTTTTCGCCCCTTTCATCTTTGATAATTGATTCACCTCTAAAAACCTTTTTACAGCTGCTAATTAAAACCGTCTCTACGTGTGTGTGTGTGTGTGTGTGTGTGTGTGTTCATCGAGCCTTCACAGTACAGTAATACATGCCCCCCCAGTGTTTACGCCAGGCAGTGGGGGTGCAGCAGGGTATGTATGGGGGGAGGGGATGGAGCACTGTATTTACAGTAGGCCTGTCTATATATGAAGAGAGGAGAGGAGGGGGGGACACAGAGGGGGGAGGGGTGTGCCCAGCCAGGGGGCTTCTGGGGGATTCAGTTGTTTATCAGGCGCCCCCTCAGACAGCGAATCGGGGGGGTGGCGGAGGACGCATGGAGGGGAAAGTGGGTTACAGACATCAAAAACATGCATGTGACCTCACTAACCTCCTGACCATGACAGCACCCTCTCTCACCTCTCGTCACTTTCATACCCCCTGCCCCTAAACACACACACACACACACACGCTTTCTCATCCCTCGCATCCATGCTGACTTTCCAGGGATGCTAAAAAGAAACAACTCCTGTATCCCCTCCCTCACTATCTTCCCTTTTTGCTTGAATAAACTCACTGCCCTCCACCCGCTCCCATCGCCCGCTGCTCCCACTGAATGAGAGAGAGAGAGTGGGGCGAGAGCGAGAGCATGGGGATGTGCTTGGTGGTGAGATTGCCAGTGTTTGCATCATCCTCAACAAAGAGAGTGAGGGAAGGAGGGATGAGGTGAGGAGCGCTTTCTTGTCTCCTCGCAGCAACAGAATGGATTGAGGAGGGGGTGCTTCTCAATAAGTGTTAATTTAA